TGAGCTTGCCACATCTCACCTGTGAGGGGCAGATGTTTAGGGTGAAAATACCCTAAGACACGTGGCCCAATAAAGGCTTGACACGTGTCAATCTTTCAGCGGTCTGCAAAGGCCCAATTCCTTTGCAGACACGTGTCCCTTATACCCTAATTGAGGTACAGTTCTCCCTTACTATAAATAGTAAGGGTAGACCTCATTTATGATATACATTAATTGCAACCACAAAAAAAGCCCAAACCTACTGAAACGCTCTCGAACCGAGAAGCTTTTACTGTTCTTATTCCACTTCGAAAAGATACTAACTTAATCTTCGGAGGCGGAACTCCCACCCCCCATCCGGAGTCTCCGTTACTTGTGCAGGTACAGGCGTAAGAAGGAAGTCTGCTAGGTGCAGGTACAGGCGTAAGAAGGAAGTCTGCTAGGAAATTGTAACTCTCCCGAAGGACACATAGAAAACCCCCAAACAAGGGTGGTGAAGGTTTCTCGGAGATCAGCAAGGTGATCCGTCTGGAGCTTGGATTTGACTATCATGTCATCAATGTACGCCTCAACATTCCTCCCAATTTGATTAATAAAGATTGTATTAATCATCCGTTGGAAGGTAGCCGGCACATTCTTTTGCCCAAACGACATCACCGTGTAATAGAACAACCCTTGATCAGTGACAAATGTCGTCTTCTCTTGATCTTTTTTCCACAAGGGTATTTGATGGAAGCCTGAGTAGGCGTCCATGAAGCTCATCAAGGCATGGCCAGCTGTAGAGTCGACCAGACTGTCGATCTTTGGAAGTGGATAACTATCCTTCGAACATTCCTTGTTCAAATCTGTGTAATCAACACACATCCGCTAGGTACCATTCGGCTTTTTGACAAGAACAACGTTGGCTACCCAATCCGGGTAGTAGCATTGCCGAATAAACCCGGCATCTAGTAGCTTCTTGACCTCGGTGGCTGCCACCTGAGATCTTTCCTCGCCGTGGCTCCTTTTCTTTTGCCTAACCGGCTTCTTTTTGGGATCCACTGCGAGTTTGTGGACAGCAAGATCCAGGCTGACGCCTAGCATCTCTTCTACTTCAAAGGCAAAAATGTCTTTGAATTCCTTCAGTAGTTGGTGCAAGTCTGCACCCAACTTTGCAAAAGCAACCGTCCCCACTTTTACTGTTCGTTCCGGACGGCTATCATCTAGAACAATGTCAATATATTCACCAGCCGGCTGGGGACGGAGATCATTTGATCGTTCCCCGATCAGTAATTGCTATTGTTTCTCTTTTTTGACGGCCACAAGGTGGTCCGCCTTTCTCTTTTTGCCGGCTGCTTTAGGAGCAGGCGCGGCTTCCTTGAAGTCATCAAGGTCGAGGGTTCCTCGCCTTGGCCAGCTGCGGCTACAGTAGGCTTGACGTCTGAGAGATAACACTCCCTAGTCGTCTTCTGATCCCCGTTCAGGAAACCCAGTGATCTATCATCCCTCTCAAATTTGATCAGCATGAGGAATGGGATGATGACTGTCTTGGACTCATTGAGGGTTGGACGGCCCAAGATCATATTGTAGGCTGTCAATTCCTCAACCACCAAGAACTTAACGACCATGTGTCATCCTTCCCCCTTCTCTCCTAGCCGGATGGGTAGGTCAATCCTCCCCACCGGATGCACTACCCCTGCCCCAAAGCCGACTAATGGGTGAGAGGCCTTGTGTATGCTACTAAGCTTGTACTTGAGCTTCACTAAGCACTAATAGCTTATTAGGTCAGACGAGCTCCCGGTATCAATGAGGATCCGACCCACTCGTTGGCTGGCAACCTTGCATTCGATGACTATGGGGTCATCGTGAGGCTGCCTGACCTTGCCCCGGTCCTTTTCAGAGATGAGGACCTCAGGGAAGGTGTCTTTCGACGCCTAACCCTCATCCACTGAGTTGACCAGCTTCAGGATGTTGTCCTTGGTACCCCGGATGGTAGGACCCCCTCCCGCAAAGCCGCCTGCTATGGTAAAAATTTGCTCTTTATCAGTGTCAAAGCTCACAGTCGACTTCTTGGAGGGTTGTCCATTGTTTGTTTTGGGGTTACCCTTGGACTTCATTATATAGGACTTTAAGGCCCCCTCATCAACCAGACGATCCATTAGCCACCTGAGGCTATAGCAGCCATTGGTGTTATGGCCGATATCCTCATGGAATTTACAATACTTACTCTTGTCCCGACTGTTGATGGGACTCTTCATTGGTGCCGGTTTTTCAAGGGTCAACCGGTCTTTGATTTCCATGAGGATGGAGGAGCAGTCCTTGTTGGACTCGTACTTGGGGACGTACGACTTCAACTCCCTCTTTTTCTTTTGGGACGGCTGACCAGAACGCTCCGCCGCTCAGACTTCTTTTCTGTTCTTGCTCTCTTCTTTTTTGGCCAGCTGAGGAGACCAGCTCTCTTTCCTGTTTGATGGCGCAGAGCTCTGTCGCCTGTATGTAGGCTTCGACTTCCATCAATGCCTCTTGGAGGGTAGCAACCCTCTTTCTGACTAGGTCGAACTTAAAAGTCGACCCGTCCTTCAGACCCTTGAAAAAGTCTGTATAGGCCACTTCGTTAGACAGCCCTTGGATCTGAATTCTCATCAGATTGAACCGCCTAACGTAGGACCTTAGTCCCTCCTTGTCTCCCTGCTGAATAGCCCCTAAGTCGAGACTTGTCTTTTTGGCAGGGATGTTCATGGAGAAGTTGGACGCAAACAGGTATGCAAGCTTCTTGAAGTTGTTGATGCATCTGGCTGGCAGATTGTCAAACCACCGTTGGGCTATGCCCTTCAATGTTGCCGGGAAGCATCGGCACCAGGCGGCATCATCCAACCCCTGTAAGTACATGAGGTTGGTGTACGCCATTAGGTGGTCTTCCGGGTTGGTGGTACCGTCATATGTACTGACCAACACGTCCTTAACCTTCCGCTGAGCCGCCTCAGTTATCTCCTTAGAGAACGCCGATGGCTGTTCCCCATGGTTTAGCAGCCGGTGCTGCCAGTCCATGGGCTGGACCTGCTGTGCCGTCTGACCCCCAAATAGGGTCGGCTGCATGTATGGTGATCCATACGGCATGTATGGCTGTTGGGGCAAATACGGAGCCGGCTGGATAATCTGAGGGCCAGTACGTGCGGACATGCCGCGTGACTGATTCTCTCGGTTTGTCTCTGAGTACTTCATTGAAGTATTACGAAAACTGTCTGGGTAAGTCGACGTGGAGGCCGACTCAAACATTTGTTGACTTCTCTTCTCCTAGATGAACATTCGGGAGTCGGAGTAAGTCTTTTTTGACCCATCCGGCTGTACTTGCCGGATGACCTTCCTTTGCCCTGATTCAGGGAAACGAAGTCTGGATAAATCGATCAGGGGCCCATCCGCCCCCTTTGGTTTAGGGTGAGGAGTAGGCACCCGATCTTTGATATGTTTCTTCCCGGAGGGAGAAGGCTTCTTGGCCGACTGACCCTTGTTGGAGCAAGTTGACTTCTTTTATTATGTCCTTGATTTCCCCTTTAAAAATCGTCAAGAATTTCATGAGCTCGCCTCTGGTGACGGGGGTTGTACTCTCCGCCGCCTGGGGTTGTCCAGCCGGCTTGCCGGCTGGGCTGCTAGGACCAGCTTTGTCTTCACCCCGTTCCCTTGTTTCTTTAGAACGGGTGCGCCTAGTTCGAAATGACCCCTCTGGTGCCACATAGGTATTGACTTCAAAGTTGTCACCACTATCCCGGTCCGTGTGGACCTCAGGCTCGGCCATAGGCCGCTTGCCTTCACCAGGCGGTACAGAATCGGATGCCATCTCGGAAATACTCTCCCCACAGACGGCGCCAAATGTTTCGGGGTTTTTGGAGTCCCTCTGGAGAGTTACAATTCCAGGAATGCGCGCCGACTGTCTATACCTGCAAAACCTCGAAACTCCGGTTGGGTGGAGTTCCGCCTCCGACGATCAGGTTAGAACGTTTCCGGATGTATGAATGTGCGGAATGTAAAGGGTTTTCTCTCTGATTCAGAGAGAATTCTGCAATTAATATTGCTCGGGTTTTGTGTTTGTATTTATGAGTGTTTCTGAATGAATCATAAATGAGGATTTTCCTCTATTTATAGTAGAAGGGGATCAGTTCCCCTTTTAGGGTTACGATGCCACGTGTCAACATAGGATTGGATCCCATTGGGTTTCTTTGAGGCTGACACGTGTCAGCATGCAATTGGGCCACGTGGCATAGGGTAATTTTACCCTAAACAAGACCTGATTTCATTAATAACGGGTCTCTTTGTTTTTTTTTTTAAAAAAAAAAAAATACAAAGCCGCTAATGTTGCTAGCGGTTTTAACATAACACGTTAACAACTTCAGCGGTTTTAAGCCAAACCAAATACCAATCCTACACGGACAGTACCTTGGCAATTTGTTTTTAAATGGATGCATGATGAGAATTTGTTTTTGTTTCAACATTATTGAGTGAAATTGCTCTAATGTCGTATGACATTTTATTTATGAATAATTCTTTAGTTAAAAAAAAAAAATTGTGTGCAAATGTGCAATGTTAGTGTATCAGATATTCTGAAACGGAGGGAGTAGTATAAAGGTGAGCCGAGGTGGCACTGACAGTCATCTCATGTTATTTATATAAAAAAACGACTTTTTCACCATATACCCCTGAGTAATTATTTTATTCACCATATATCCATAAAAATTTTCAAATTCACAATATACCCATGATTTTAACAACAATGTCACCATATGCCCAAATGACTAACGGACATTAACTCCGTTAGTCATTAAGGCTTAATTTTGCCATGTAGCAGTAATTTATAGGGTGTTTTTATTTTTTTTAAATTTTATAATAATTATACATTTAATTATGTAAAAGTTAAAAAAAAAAAAACCTCACTCACACCACAACCGCCCCTATCCCAGCCCACCCCCACCTCCGGCTGGCCGGCGACTGGGCCCACTTCCCGGCTGGCTGGCACTCATCCCCCCCCCCCGCCGGCGACAACCCCGCCCAACCATCTCCCTTTCCCCCTCCCTGACGCACCTCACCTCGAATTCCCTCTCCCACCCCGCCTTGAACCCAAAAACTCCCTCTTCGCCTTTCCACCTTCGCCGGAACCTCTTCATCGGCATCCAAGAATCCCTCCTCGCGCCGGCGAACCCAAACCGCCACTCCTCTGCCATATCCACCCCCTGAACCACCACGCCAAAACCCCAAAATCGAAAATCCCTAAAATCGAAATTTAAGGTTTTAGAGTGTCGAGGTGGAGGTTTTTGGCTATGGTGGGCGGCAGCAACGTGGGGAGGGGGGATCTGGGCTGCCGGCGAAGTGGTTTCGAGGTGGTTGATTGATTTTCGGCTATGATGGAAAGGTGGGCATGGTGGTTTTGGGGAATGGGATGACACAGGCGCGGGGTTAAGGGGAGGGGTGGCGCTGGCGCATTGGGGAGGGGCGCCAACGACGGGGAGGTTGGGTTGGGTGGTGAGGAGGCTGGGTTGGGTACTTGGGTGGCGGTTGAGGGGAGGTGATTGGCTAAGGTGGTTGGGGTAAGGTGGTGTTTTAATTTTTTTTGAAGCTTTTTTTTTAAATAATTAATTAATTAATTTGAAAACCAATAAGATGATGCCATGTGGACAAATGAAATTAGATGTGTACGGTGAATTTGAAATTTTTTTTGTATATATAGTCAATAAAAAAATAATTCAGGTATATATATGAAAAATCCGAAAAAATAATACAAATGTGTTTAGAGATATAAATACAAAAAGCAAAAGCGGTAAAGTTAGGAAAACCTCGGCATAATTTTCAATGGCGAAACTAACATCCGAGCTGACAACAGACAAATTATCCTCGGATCCTCAATTTAACGCCGTTACACTCTTTAATTATTGCCGTGCTCACGTTCATGGCTTCCCTTCCTCTACTACACCCTCTCATTTCTCTGTTCGTCAGGTAATTCTCTGATTTCATTACAATCATTTATTTTTTTATTTTTTATGATTATGATTTGATACAAAGTATTTTCTAGGCTCGCTATTTATTTTGATTAATTTTTTTTTTTTTGAATAAAGATTGGTTCACAAATTTATTTTGATTAAATGATATAGGTAAATTCTTGCTTTATGAGAGTGCATGCAATAATTTGAACTGGGAAATTCTTTTTTATTTTTATTTTTATTGATTTGTCTTTAATTTTGATATCTGATTAGAGTAATTAATTCTTGTACAAGTTTTTCTAATCTTATTGTCACAAACTATTCTTTCAATTTGCTTTCTGGGTGTCAAAGTTAGAAAATTTTGGCATTAAATTCTTGTTCAAGTTTTTTTAATCCCTTTGTCAGAAGCTAATTTTTGTAATCAATTATGGTATTAGAAAAATACTATCTAGATCATGCTGACAATATGTTTGTTTAATGATACGATTAGAAAGAAAAAATTGATTGTTGTTTTTTGTTAAATATATACGCTTACGTGTTCTCAAAGTAGATAAGTAGCACAGAGAAAACTTTTCAATATCGTTTGCCAGCGAATGAATGGTATGTTTGATGCCGACGAATCCATAATCTTTCTCATTACCAAAATGAAGGAAGTAATATGTAGTGCTTCAAACAGTACCAAAATGACCTTCGAAGTTCGACAATGGATGGACTCTTTTGGAGTTGAACCTTCTAGCTCTTAACCCATAACACATCTTTGAACCATTTATACTGCAAATCAGCCATCTTTGCTACAAGTAGGAGTGTAGGCCAAACAAATTTGTTATCATGGTCACAGACAACAATAAGAGCATTACCATTAATCTGTTTCGATGAGCTAGCTTGATTTTGCACCTCATCTTCAAGAATTTAGCTAAGCCAAGATGATTTTTCATCACTATTGCCCCTTTTTTTAGCATGTTAATCTAAGAAGCACGATGAAGCAATTCCTTGTAGATATTATTTCACTTTCTTTTCCTTAGACAGTATGACACAGGTCTCACTTTCTTTTCCTTAGACAATGTGACACAAGTATATTTTACTTCATAGACTTTCAGCTTGAAACTTCCCTTCTTCAGCTCTTCGAAAGTTCTATCTCAGTGTCTACAGCCATACTAAAGAAACAAATACTATAGTTATGTATATGAAAGAAGATATTTGTAGCTCATTATGTAAGGAAATGCACAACACATGATTGATGAAATCTATGTTACATGGACTCAAGAACGGGTGTCGGACACGGACGCATGTCCAAGTGTCCGATCCGGCAAGTTCCAAAATTTTAGGACACGGGACTCTGTCAGATATTTGGACACGGGTACGGGGACCGTCAATACATCACTTAAACTAATATAAATAAATTATGTATTACAAATGTTTTAAATTTTTCATTATGTCTACCCCTATATTTTTTTTTTTATTATAATTCTTTCCTCGGTAAATTCTCCTAATAAATGACAATCTTCTTCTCTCCATCTTCTCTATATTAATGGTGGTTTTCGAACAAGATATGTTTTTCTTTCATGGTTCTTCTCTTTTTCCCTCTCCCTCTTAATGGAAGTGTCCGAGTGCATAGTGAAGGATCGGACACGTGTCCTGTGTCTTTGTCCATGAAGTGTTGTGTCGACACAGACCGTGTCCGTTATCTCACTTGCAAACATATCTAGGTGAGATAAAATATATGACAAGATTACCATGTTGTCTAACATTGTCACATGCTGACATTCTAAACATAATAAACAGTGGCCAAATTGAATTTGAGTTTGTTCAAGCTAAATTCGTTCTAGCTCTTACTGGCCCTACCTTAGTCATGATCATGCATCAAATTTTAAAATGTAAGAGCTAGATAACTGTTCAAGCAACCATGAAATACTATGCCATTGTCTTAAGGTGGCAGACTGGTAGCAACTCATCTTTTACATTATATATTCATATCCTAAGTTTCACACTTTCTATATATCAAATCATCTTTGAACAAGAAACACAAAGAACCTGATAATGCAGCAACCTAGAAAAATCAAACCCTATATTAAACTCAAAAATAAACAATCACCCTCATAAATCAATAGCTTATTGATTCGTAGTCGAATTACAAACAATCTTAAAAATCCGGAAGAACCTAGGAATATACTATTAGAAGCCTGAACAATATAAAAAGAGGGAGAATTGAGGAGATAAAAAAAGGGTGAGTGATGTTGTTGCAAAGTAAAAGAGATGAAGTCGTACAGAGGAGATAGATTTGGTTATGGTGGAGGAAGAGGAGGCCGAAGGAAGGTGGCTGAAGATGCTGATAACAACGGAGAAGGTGGTAAATGACGAGGCTCCATTGTTTGCGGAGAGAGAGAGAGAGAGGCGGAGCAAAAGCCGGAAAAGAAAAAAAGTAGAGGATAAGCAATTTATAAGCTGAATTAACATTGTTAACAAAGTTTTGGCACAATTCCATAGAAACAATAATTTTCAAGGAAATGCGACTCAACACATTGCCATGGAGAAGATTAGAAAAGTTGGAAGTTAGCCCCTTTTAGAAGGATTTGAGATTAAATGTTGTACTACCTGCGATTATTATTATCTGCAACTTTGGAGTATTATTTGTGAGATATAAAAAATTTCAAAGTTGAAAATAAAACGGAGGGAGTATGTATTTTCAAAATATAACTATTGTAGAACATAATAAGATATATGATTTACCAATAGGTACTTAAATCAGCACATGAAGGAGATTTTTTAGCTTAACCAAGATGTCAGGTTTAAGGGAACACAATTGGGATAGATTTTCCCAAATCGAGGCCTGACGTGGTTCGAATTTTGATTGGCCGAAGTCTAGTAGGCTTTGGATTACTGGATATGCTTGTATTAAAAAAACGTACGAATTATTGACAATATAAGGTGTGGCAATAGTCTACAAGAAGAGTAATTTTGGAAAAAGAAAATATGTTTTTCAAAGAAATTGATGTCGTGAGTGATTTTTTTATACACATTTCATATGAATTTATTCATGAATTTAGTGTTGTATTATATAAGGGGGGAAATAAAAGAGTCTTTTGAATGAATATATATGAATAAGAAATGGCTTATGATTCTGAAATTTGTTGTCATTTATTTTGAAAAAGATGTAAATACAAAATATACATATACTCTTTCATCAATAAACTTATAAATTTATGTTTTTATTGCTGCGTAGCGTGTTTATTTTACTCCATTGTTGCTGTCTAATTACCTATCATGCTGCTGATTTTGTTTGTGTGATTGCTTTGCTTCATAGTTTGGGCATGGTCAATCAAATCCTACATTCTTGTTGGAAGTTGACGTCAATGGTATCTTGAACCGGTATGTCTTGAGAAAAAGGCCCCATGGGAAACTGCTCCCATCTGCTCATGCGGTGGAGAGAGAATTTAAGGTTATTCTTTAGTCTTATATTGCTCTTTGCTGGTGATGCATAACTGTGGTGACTTTATGCATGTGAATCCCAATCTATTTTGATTGATTAAAACTATTCTGTCGTCTGAAATTTTTATTTTCACAGGTATTACATGCATTGGGTACTCATACCAAAGTACCAGTTCCTAAGGTCTTCTGCTTGTGCACTGATACAAGTGTGATTGGAACTTCTTTTTATGTAATGGAGTATTTGGAGGGTCGCATATTTTTAGATCCAACCCTTCCGGTACGTAGTTTATTCTTTTATTTCTATGATGTGGCATATCCATGTTGTATGTCACTCTATACTGATGATCATGTTCGTTTCTAATCTTAGCTTGCCATTAATAATAAAATTGCTTTTAGTAGGGTTTGGATCCGCATAGAAAGAATGCAATAAATCGTGAGTCAGCTCGAGCATTAGCTTCTTTGCATCAAATTGATGTTGACACCATTGGTTTAGGAAATTATGGGCTTCGTGAAAACTATTGCAAAAGGCAGGCAAGTGAATCTTTACTTTGTTTTGGCACATTATTTTGTTTACTCAACTGATTATCTTAAGAATAATCTGTGTTTCTGAGTTTTGTTGATGGATTTTCTTGCACTATGAAGTTATTAAATCTCATTCATAAGGAATCTTTTCAATGAGAACAGCTGTGCATGTATGGTAGATAGTGGCCTTGCTTTATCTGTATGCTTAAATGAACAAGGAGTATTGATGTAGACTGCAGTTGCCTTTCTGTGTCTAAAGAGAAAATCATGCATATGATTGAAGGTCCCTACCTTTGGTTCTGTGTCATTAGTTTGGCATCCTTCATATTCTTAAATTGTTACTACTTCCTCCACCTTCTGATAGCTGTCAGCATTGGCTCCTTTAGATGTCCAATTAAACTCTTCTTGTTTCTAATAACAATTGAACTAAAGCATAGCATATGTCAAAGTTCTTCATCATGTTATATTAAGAGTAATAACAAAAAGAAATCAGAGATTTTAGAATAAGCGATTTTTTCTCTCTCTACCCCCCCCCCCTAATTGCCTATACTTGACGGTTATTAGTGGATGGAGTAACAATATATTCAGTTTAACATTGCTTATTCTATCTGAAATTAATTGTAGGATTGCTGATACTTTTTATTTTAATTAGAGAAAAAATCTATTGAAACAAGAAAGCAAGAAATTTACCAAGAGGACAAGATGCCCTCACTAAAAAGCACAAAGATAATTACAAGATAAGCCAAAGCTTTTTTAGCTCCCCACTTGACTACGAGTACTTCTTAAAAGTCCCAGCTTCCCTAGCCCGTATACCTTGTACATTTCAAACACTATAACTTAAAAATTAAAAGGGGAATAAAAGATGGTATACATATATAGCTATTGAAGTAGCTTGTGCTGCAACAGGCTTGTCATGGTGTTTTTAGTCTTTTTACATTTCAGGATATTGGCTTTTGTTTGTTCATAGCCTGCATGCTTAGAGTACATTACCAAACTTTTTACCTTCCGACTTCTTATACAAATCTATCTATTTATTTTCAGATTCAATAGCTTTCTCCCCATTCCAAGTCTTTATATGTGATAGAAAAAATACAAAACTTTCTTCTTATTCTTTCTTATGGAAATGGTATTAACCAGATAGAAAGATGGGGAAAGCAATACATGGCATCAACTGCAGGAGGTAAGCCCGAGAGAAATCCTAAAATGGTAGAGCTTATCAGCTGGTTGCACAATAATTTACCTTTGGAAGATTCATCTGGATCTGCTTCTGGTCTAGTCCATGGTGACTTTCGGATTGATAATCTTATCTTCCATCCAAATGAGGTTCGGTGCAGAAAATTTCATTGTGCTCTGTATTAATACTGTTGATGATTTTTATCTATTTATTCATTTTTTTTTGGTGGAACAACTGGTGGTATTGATAAATTATCATCATACTTAGAAATTGCAGAGAATAGTCTCAAAGCATGATTTTATTTTTTGTTGTTGTCATCGTAGTGTATAGTCCCTCATACTTGTGTCTTTGGCTAAACACTAATCTTTTGAATGCTTCAGGATCGAGTGATTGGAATCCTGGACTGGGAATTGTCTACTCTTGGAAACCAAATGTGTGATGTTGCTTACAATTGCTTGGTAATAATTATTATGTTTTAATCGAGCTTACTAGCCATTTTCTCTGTTGCATTTTTGTTATATTTGTATACTCTGTTTAGTTTGTTATTAAATGTTTTGGGATCGTTTCTAATTAATTAGTGACAATTAATTTGCAGCATTACGTTGTGGATTATTCTATCGATAAGATAGGTCAGGACAAAGGATTGGAAGAAACTGGGATACCAGAGGGGATTCCTTCAATGGCTGAATATTTAGCAGAATACTGCTCTGCAGCTGTAAGATTTGCAGTTTGATGTTTCAATTGAATCATCATTTGGCATGCTTTAGTTTATTTGTTGTTTACTTTGAGTGTGTTGTTGGTTGAGTCCTGCAGTAGAAATGGTTCAGTGAGCCACGTAAATGCTTAGCACAGAAGCTATTTGAAAATTTTCCACCAATAATGCTATTTACAAAAAAATTACACTTTTATATTAACTTATTGTGTTCAAGTTAAAAGCTATCACAAATATGTTTGCTCTACATATTCTCGAACAACTTTGCATTTCTGCAGTCTGCTTCCTGTTATATTGTTATAGTATATTAAATGGAAATGCTCAGTCAGCTTATTGATTTGCTGTCTTCTTTACTATAGACTTAGAATAGATGAAGTGTTTTTAATTGTCATCTTGACTGTAGATTTAATATACAAAGTGATTTGTAGAAAATATTTCAGTGTGGTAATTATTTCGACACTGGACCTATATTATGGCATAGATCTTAGTCATATTTCCATTTCAATCTTTGGAAGCAGTATACATATTGGGTAAGAAAGGCACTAATGCTTAATTCTTTACTTTTCAAGTTCCCTTATCTAAATATACCTAAACTCTTAGAACTTGTTTGAACTCATTGGTCCTAATCCAAACACACCTGAACTTTCTAGAACTAAACTGAACTGAACCTAATTGTCATTAACTGATCTTATTGGGCATTAACTGAACTATTAAGCCTAAAACTTTCATTTTCAAGGTGAAAAGAACAAGGCTTTAATATATTGAATTGGTCACACATTCTATTAACAACTCTCATGGAGTTATTATAAATGGTGATGCAAGCTTTCTTGTTATAGTACTAATGTTGGGATAAAGTAAAGAAATCAAAGAGGTTATGCTACAATGTTCAGAAAAAAATGGCCTTTCAAAACTATCAATGGGAACACGTATTCGGAGATAAAAGGATAAGAAAGAGCTAGGTTATATCGAAAAGGAAATAACCCCTGTTCAATCAAAATTTGAAACTTTTGTCAGATCATAAAATTTCAGGTGAACTTCAAATAACTGTAATCTCTGAAATGTAGGGAAAGCCTTGGCCTGCTGCTCATTGGAAGTTCTACATTGCTTTTTCTTTGTTTCGTGCAGCAGCTATCTATGCTGGCATCTACAGCAGATGGATCATGGTAAAGATTCTGTCTGTCAAATTCTAAAAATTTCTTAGAATTACTGTGCATTTGTGCTGCTTATTGACTTTCTCCACCAACGTGAAGGGTAATGCTTCGGGAGGAGAGCGGGCAATCCATACTGGAGCCAAAGCTAATGTTCTCATAGGTTATGCATGGTCCTTTATTTCTAAAACTTCTGTACTTCCAGAGCGTCCCCCATCTGGTATGTCCTTGTAATTACTGCCCTGAGCTGCTTTATTTTTTTCTTTTGAAAGTACTACTGGTACCTATCTGCAAGCTCATGATACCTGATTGCCCCAAAGTGACATTTGTTCTGCAAAATATTAGTTAAGCCCTCGTGACAGTAGGAAGACATCTAAGATAGAGGCTGGTGAAGTGATCTATCATTCCTTTTATGCATCATATATTTTTGCTTCAGAAGCTCTCTTGGGGCCTGTATAACTGATACTGGGTTTTAAGGCATGGTTGCGATTATGAGAGCTATGTGGGTCACACATAGTGAAAGCATGCTGTCATGTAAAGAGTTGCAGACTTGCAATTAATACATCATGTTTTAATGGTGGTTATACAAGTCATCTCAATTTGTACTGGCACATACCAGACTTATACCATATAGCACCCCGACTTCCAATCAATATATTAATTTATTAAAATCACCAATACAATTACAAAATATACTTGAAAATCAATATATAAATAGATTTAGGATCATGTGAGACTGTGGCAGATCTAGGGGGTACAGAGGTACAGTTATACCCCCCATTCTAACTGTTAACAAAAGAGACGGTTTTTACAAATAACAGGTCTCTTAGGTACTTGCATTGCAACAAGTCTAACAATCTTGCGTGCAGCGTGCTGTCTGTATGATTAAAATAAAAAGAGACCAGTTTTATAAATAACTGGTCTCTTAGGTACTGTCAAACAAGCGTGCATTGTTGTCTGTAGATTGAAATAAAAAGAGACCGCTTTTTATGGATCCTTGGTCTCTTAGGTGTGCTCCTTTGATTTGATTTAAAAGCAACTTCTTTGTTTTTCTTAAAAAAAATTTATTTTCTTCCTATATGCTCATGGATGTGACAATAATTTTCTTTGCACTTTGTATTTTTTTTCACTCAAATTTATATCAATTCTTTAAAAATAAAAAATCTTTGGTATTTTTCATTGTCTATTTTCTTGTACTACACATCGTGCAATTAATATATTCGTGTGTTATATTATGGAAATATATCAAAGTAAGTGTATGTGATTAGTTATACTTAATTCAATTATATTACAAGTATATTTTACTGTATGTGTAGTTGATTAGCTTAAAATTATAATTTGCATGGCTGAAATCTTTATTTAAGTGTAACCTTTAATTTATATAATTGGTTATTTGTTTTGTTCAATTATAGACAAATTTAGTGGTGGAATACACGCAATGACGAATAAGAATAAGAGTAAGAGTGTGGAATTAATAATTAATTGAAAGTCTAGTATGGCAAATTTTGTGTTTTATAAATTTTTTTAACAAGCCTAATTCCGTACCCCCATACCTAAATTCCTGGATCTGCTACTGATGTGAGATGTGAGAAGGGTGAGAAGTAATTATAACCCTTAGATCTAGCAATGTGCGGCCCAGATTACACAAGAGTATAAATTATTTTATCACATCTCCTTTCTCCTCCCGACTTTCCTTTTCTCCTATTGATTTCCAGTGTTTTTCTTTTTCTCTCTTTTCCCTAACAACCTGATGTTGCTATGTATGGAGGCATGGAGCTCGAAAATGGCGCCTAGCCCATCCTTTCTCTCTCATCCAACAATCACAATTATAAGCATTATCGCACGACTGTCGATTACTTCAAAGGGTATTGCTTTGTTTTTTTTATTCACAACTCTCTGTCTTCCCCTTGTTTCATGGCTTTCCCTCTCTTGGTCTGAGCTTCCTCTTACCTCATCCTTCATATTTATATAAGAGCTTGTCAATTAAATCACAGGAGATTAATGATTTCAATTTTTCAATCAACTTGAAAATCATAGAGCTCAACCATCGTGATGAACATAACCAATAAATTTCAATCTCAATCAAACAAAAATTATGAAATTGAAAGAGAAGTTGGGGTTGCTGTTGAGGAGAGAGAAATGTAGTTGGTGATGGTTTTCGGCACTCGAACAAGGTTGTCACATAGGGGTGTGGTGGGTTTTTGTGGCCGAGCGGAAGCCATTTTTAAGTACTCCAGTTTAAACATGGAAGTTCATTGTCTTTAACTCAATATTGATGTATCCGTAACACACTTTTGATGTATCTTAAAGTATCTATATTACAATATTGATGTAAATGTATAATACCTTTTTTTTATGTAAATTGAGGTAAACATTACAGAAGTAATTTGTAAAAATAATCCTAACTTTCACGTATTCTCTTTAAATAATCCCAACTATCAATTATTTATAAATAATCCCAACTTTAGGAAGTTTACGCTTTTATTGGTTCCTAGTGACCGGAAATCTGTTAAATAGGTAAAAATAAAAAGTTAATTTTTTGTTTATTAGACACGTGTCAGCACGTGATTGGTCAAAAATAAAAATAAATTAAAAAAAATTGAAAAAGGAAAATTAAAAAAAAAAAAAAAAACCACTCAGCCACGCCACATCCCCACCCTCACCTCTGGCAGTCCTACCCTCCCCACCCCACCGGTAAGCAGGCCGGAGATGGTCGTACTTTGGCCGACTCCAACATCCCGGATAAGTCAACTCTCCATTTGGTGCTCCGTTTGAGGGGAGGAATGCAGATTTTCGTCAAGACCTTGACTAGAAAGACTATTACCTTGGAGGGTAAGGGCTCGGACACCAGCAAGCAGCAACAATGTCAAAGTGAAGATTCAGGTCAAGGAAGGCATTCCCCTTGACCAGCAGAGGTTGATTTTTGCGGAGAAGCAGCTGGAGCCTCCACCCTTGAGGATGGTAGGACTCTTGCGGATTACAATATCCAAAAGAAGTCCGCCCGTCACTTGGCCTGGTGCTCTGTTTGAGGGGAAGAATTCAGATTTTTGTGAAGACCTTGACCGGCATTTGAGGGGGGGGGGGGTTCGTGGTGGTGGGCTGTGGGATGACGGTTTCGGGGGGTGGGGATGGTGGCCGTGTCGTGGGGTTGGGGGTGCTGGAGGTGGCAGGGGCTGGCTGGTTTGGGTGTTAGGTGTTATTTATTTGATTAATTCTTATTTATTTTTTAATTTTTTTTACCAATCACGTGCTGACGTGTCTGATAACCTGCTATAACGGGTTGGGTGGCCGGTTGGGACCAATGAAAGCGAATATGCCCTAAAGTTTGGATTATTTTAAAATAATCTAAAGTTGGGATTATTTAAAATGAATACGTGAAAGTTGGGATTATTTTACCAATTTTTCCTATATTTAATTGGTATAGTATGAAACAAAGTAACAGCTCCACGAACTTGGTTAGATGAAATTAAATACCTGGAACAGCTGATCTTAGTTGTGAAATTAATGCTTCTGTTCAAAATGTAATGTCTTAAATCATTTTTATTTATTTCTTAAGAAAAAGCTTATGTAGGATCCATGGAAAAATCAAGAACAACTTGTTTGTGTTATAAAACAGCTAACCTTTTTTTGAGCTCTGGCACTAATGTATGTCTTGAGAAGTTGAGAGTAAGGGTGTATGCGATCTATGCATATGACATTACATTATTCTTAAATTAACATTTGCTTTAAATCTTCAGGCCCATTTTCATCAGATCATATTCAAAATTATGGAAATCAACATGAAATTCCAAATACCATAGAGGAAGGAGGCAAGTTTTCTATAAGTGGAAAGGTTATAGAACTAAGGAGCAAATTGATCAGATTTATGGAGGATCATATATACCCCATGGAGAACGAGTTCTATAAACTTGCTTTGTCTCCCTCTCGCTGGACTGTTCACCCCGCAGAAGAGAAATTAAAGGAGCTGGCAAAGAGAGATGGGTTATGGAATTTATGGATACCTGTATGTAATCTTGCTCTTCGCATGTTCTCATTTTCCTGCTTTGGCTCTACCTATTTCAAGGATGACCAATTTATTATGCTATCTAGGAACTTTTTGTTTTTTTTGGTAATAAATAAAACTTATTAATTATAATTGTGCAGAGTAGATCCAAGCTATGGGAAATCCCAACTAGATACATCACATACTTCCATAGGATCATAGGAGGACCAACATAATCTGCATTAGTATTCTCTAAGATCCACCTTCTAATAAGGTTTCTTGGAGGTATACACATGTTCACGCTTAGTTTAATTATCAAGAAAACGTAGAATTATCATAAAACCAAAAAGCTATTAAGGAAAGAGAAATGTTTAAAAAGGCTCATGGCGCACCAAGGTAATTGGATTTCCCTGCCGTTAGGGTGCGCATTACTTAATAAGAACTGAAAAAATGTCTGGAAAATAATGGTGTGAGCTTCATTAACATTGTCTCGCCTAGACCAAAACAGGCATGGCTTAGGTTGCCTTGTAACTCAGCTCACCTTTATATACTAAAAGAAAGAGCCAAAAAAGGAAAATGATGTGAACATGATATGACCTCAGATAGTTGGCATCCTCATTTAGTGATCTATATCAATCAATCAATCATTTGGTTATCTATATAAACCCCAAAAACAATAACTAATCAAGGGGTACTGTGCTCTATTGCTAACATAATGAGCCATCATCTTTCAACAAGAAGACATGGATAGGATATAAAAGCCCATTTTCCTCGAGTTGTTTTTTAATTAAGAAAGCTTGTGTTTTGTGCCAAGTGCCTAGTACTTGCGCTAAGCACAACTTCAGTACAGCAGCTACAACACTTGGTTGAGTTTGTCTTTTGGGCTCGCTGCTTAACCTCTCTAACTTAAAAAACTAACCAGAATCATTTCATTGGAAACCTTTCCAGTTCCGGAGTCTGCCAGATTAGTCTTTTAAACTGCACTTAAATAGTACTTTTTCAATTAATTTTTTGCCTGCCATAAAAATACGTAAACGATCATGTGTACTCATTTGCTCAACCAATCTTTGGTGTATAATCTGCTTCAAGGGTTCAATTGATAGATAAGCTCATCTTATGTAAGCTTTGTTAGCACAAATTACTAGTTTTCCCTGCCCACATCCTTTTAAGGCACAGATAGGCAGCTGTCAAATTGTTTTTTTTTTTTTTTTACTTTACCAACCTTGGTCACTTGATGTCCTTGCAGAGGAACTATGCATTTCTAATGAAGAAGTTTTCTCAGCACCCAACACATTACACTACTTGTGGTGTTGCAATGTAACCACTAATAAGAGAAATCGCGTCTTTTTATGCTAAGTGCAGATCCAATTGATACACAGCATTTTCTTCTTGCCATAAACAGATTTAGAATGGCAGCCTGATTCAATGCTGACTGGTTAATGAAAAGGCTACCCCCTGCTTCTATTAAAAATTATTTTTTGTTACCAGGGCTCTCTTTTAAGTGGTTACCTTGCAATACCACGATAAAGTTTTACAAGCAACTTCAATTAAGATGCACACTCCCTCAGTTCCTGCAAAAAATAAAAAAAATGGCTCCAAAGAGAGTTTAAATATCCAAAATAATCAATTCCTAAGACGATACTGCACAGCCTAGGTAATACGTTAATTATCCAACATTTGATCTCTTGAGGTGATCTTATCCCTAACTTCTTACATTGAAATACAAGTAATTTCTTGGATGATATTGGAGCCCTCAGATTTTTAAAGTGGATGGCTCCCTCTAATTTGTGATTATGTTAAGTAATATCTTGATGTCTAAATTAATCTGTTAGCATTTTTTGCATCTATTGATACATGAAAGGGCATGAGGATATCATTTTTTTACCCCCTTATTATTATTATTATTATTATTATTATTATTATTATTATTATTATTATTATTATTATTATTATTATTATTATTATTATTTATTTAATTTTTTCTATTTTGATAATTATCTTGAATCCATGCAGTTAGATAGTGCTATGCGTGCTAAGAAAATATTTGCCACTGAAAAAAGCCAAAAATCCCCTGGTGGTCAGTTACTTGGACCAGGACTCTCCAACCTTGAATATGGACATCTGTGTGAGATTATGGGCCGTTCTGTTTGGGCTCCTCAGATTTTCAATTGTGGGGCTCCTGATACTGGAAATATGGAGGTAATGTCAACATGAAATGCAGTGAGCTTTACTGTGACCCCTTTATGCTGTAAAAAACTCGTGAGCATGTATGAATGTATAAAATTATGTTTTTGACTTCTTTCCCTTTTAATGAGTAAAGATTTAATTGTTTTAAAATTACATTTATTCACGTGATTTGTTACTTTAATTTAATGCCTTAAGAGCATATCACATTTAACAAAAGTGCCTTCTTTAGACTTTGGATTTTCTCCTTTAACAAAAGCTGTATTGAGCAGGGAGGTGGTTGGGTTTGCTCCCCAAATATAGGTAAGAGTTTTGTTAGATTGGCTGGGTTGAACCCAGGGTATCATGATATATTGTTTTTCTCATCATTCGATGGAACATTGCTATTAAAAAATAAAGAAGTGAATCTCATACTTGAGTTTAATTTGTTCTTGATTTGGTTCACCATAAATTGGAATGCCAGAGTACCCTTTTGTAGTTTGTTCCTTTCATTTCCATCCAATGTTTAATTTGTTCCTGATTTGGTTCACCAAAAATTGGGCTGCCCGAGTACCCTGACGTAGTTTGTATATTAGCTAATATGAAAAATCCCAAAGTTACTTGATGCAGAGTTGGGATGCCAGTATATGAACCTATTGTTTTGTTGGTCCTGTCAAACTTAATGACACAGATGGCTCATCTGCTCTGTTTAAGCTAGCCAACTAGACTGGGCAGATGATAAAATTTATTTTCTGTTGGAGTGTATATAAGGAGTCATGATGATTGCTTTGTTCAATTTGAGGATGTTTATTATTGTACTTCATATTCTATTGGTACCGGCAAAATGGATTGCTAACTCCAATTTCAAAATGAGGCATGGAAAGGAGCCACTATGAAGAAGTTCCAGGAGTTACGAAAGAATCTTCGAGCTCATATTGGTCAGCCCCCTCCGGAGGGGGGGGGGGGGGGTGGACCTTGCCCGTGCCGAAGACAAGCTTATCTTTATTCTTAGTTCTGAATATTGATTGAAAATGTTTTACATCTAAATGCTTGATCTTTGCATGATAGAAGGCTGATCTTGGTATAACACATTCTATGTGTAGGTTTTACTACGCTATGGGACTGAAGATCAACTAAAAGAATGGCTTATACCTTTGCTTGAAGGCCAAATACGTTCTGGGTTTGCAATGACAGAACCACAAGTAGCATCCTCTGATGCGACAAACATTGAGTGTTCCATAAAAAGGTTGGTAAATAGCCCTGTTTGTCTTATAATTTTCTGTGAGGTTAGTTTCATCTATGCAAATAAGGCTCTTGCTTCAGGAAATCTTGTATAATAGTATATAGAATAATTTTTTGCTGAAACTTATTTACTCAAGCCGAGGTAAAATAATGACAATAAATCACCAATTACAGTTTACACTATACCTTTGATAGGTTGATAGCTTGGTACTTTCCCATGGTGTTTCGTAGTTTATAAATTTCTCAGCGATTTAATGCTTCAATAATTCTAAATTAAGCTCCAAATCCTCTTTAATTGGATTCCCCCCCCCCCCCCCCTCCTTCCTCCAATTAAAGGAGGCCATCATGTTATGTACTTCATAATGGCCTTTTGTAGCTGATTCTGAACCAGCTATTTACAAAATGGGGGTGTTTTGTATTGTTGTTTAAACCTATGTTACTCGGACATGGATTAAGTGTCTACTTGGATACGAGTGTCCAAGTATTGGACTCGGCCATTTTGTAGAAAAAATCTAGTTTTTAGTTAAAAATGAAGTATCCAAGTAGAGTGTCGTGTCAGACACGACACGATACGACACTCGATTTTTGAGGTAAATGAGGGTGTCGAAGTAACAGTGTTTAAAACTATAAAAAATACATTGTATAAAAAATAGTTTTGATATTAATTTTACAAAATTAAAATTACTTGTATAGAGAATGAAAATGTGTTTCATCAAAAGTAAAATTAAAAATAAAAATAAAATTAATATGGAATAGTGAAATTATAAGTCACCATGAATATCTAATTTTGAGGCCCTCTTAAATGAGAGGCCCTATGCTATTGGTCGCTTTGTACACCCTCATCAACGGCCTCGATTATATGTTTAAAGTTAGAGTTGGTTTAGGGTCATGGGATCTCAGGCTAGGTAACCCCTCTTGGTTGGTGTTGTAAGTACAAGAATAAAGCTTACTTTGTATTTGATTAAGGTGTATGTGCTTGTATTTGGCCTGTTGTAAATAAAGGAGTAGTCTAGTATGAATAGTATAAAAATATTTTAAGATAAAACAGATAATCTCACAAACAATGGAACAATATCGGTGTGTCGTAATGCAAATCACTGACTTGAAAACGAAATTCTGGTGTAACCAAGGTGCTCAATTGTATTCGCTGGCACGTTCTCTAAGTTTAACACACCACTTCCATACAAAGACACTTTTGGGTGGAAGGTTGGAGTTAAGTAACTTATGCCCAATAGAGAATGTGTTTAAGCTATTGTGATTGATGTATTTTTCAAGTGTAAAAATCAGAAAAAAGGCTTCTTCTATTTACTTGAGAAACATGAAAGAACATAGAAGAAGAATCCCAAGCATCAAGGGAGGTGAATAATCAAAATAATGGTGGTGATTAATCACCTTAAACATCCTCTTAAATTGGGGGGGGGGGGTTATAAGGCTACTCAAGAGAATAATGGTGGTGATTAATCACCTTAAACATCCTCTTAAACGGGGGGTTATAAGAATTACTCAAGAAATTAAGTGTGGGAAGTAATGCCTTGAATTCCCTTTCTTTATTCCAACAATCCCCCACTAAAGGAAGGGAAGAAAAATCAAAAGAAGAAGATAAGCAACATATTGGGCATAAGAGGAGATCAAAACTTAACACTTAAATATTATAATTGTTTGAAATCTAGTGTTTAGTGAGATGAGGTAATGAATTACAAGTATAAGGGTGGACAAACCTTGAAACTCTTAGACTCTTGATCAAAGAGTGGACTAGCTTTGAAACTCTAAGATTTAATCCAACACCCCCACATTACATACATCACTCCAAAATTTACTTGAACTCCGCGAAGAGATGTACTTATTTATAGCCAATTACATTCACCTTAGGTCTAGTGGAGGCTCTAGAAAACCGGCCAAAGTTTTCATAGAAGATGGCTAGTTTTCACAACTACATAGGTGAGTCCCCTAAAGTGCGTCTCAATAGCACAAGGACCCATTAAGAATTAAACAACTCAACCTCATAAACAAAAATACAAGCATTACAAATATTATCACCATAGGAACTAGGACAAATGTAATGTATCATATGGCTTAAGTCCTAATCCCCTCGATGACTCATCAACTTGTTTTCTTGCTAATCCTTTCGTCAAAGGATCCGCCAAGTTTTTTCGGACCTCACATAGTCCGATGCAATTACTCCATTCTTGAGAAATTGTCTCAATACTTTTGTCTCATACGAATGTCTCTTTTTTCCATTGTAGTTACTATTATTGGCCAATCCAATTGTTGCTTGAGAATCACAATGTATGGACACCGGTGATGAACTCTTCCCCCACAATGGTATGTCGGCTAGGAGGTTCCTAAGCCATTGCGCTTCATGACCTGCCAACTCAAGAGCAATAAGTTCAGATTCCAGAGCTAAACATGGTTGTTTTGAAGACTTCCATGAAATAGCACCTCCACCTAAAACAAAACATACCCACTAGTAGAAGAAAGTTCATCATAATAACCTTCCAAAACATTTGGAAAACGATTAAAATGTAAACATACATAGTACCTTTGAGATACCTCTATAACCGACAAAGTGCAATCCAATGACTTTGATTTGGATTGTTAGTATATCTACTAAGTTTACTTATCGTATAGGCAATGTCGGGTCGTGTGCAATTCATTAGGAACATCACACTACCAATTACCCTTGCATAGAGATCTTGAGATACACTTTGACCCTTGTTCTTTTCAAGCTTTAAGTTAGGATCATATCGTGTATTGCTAGGCATAACATCAAAAGAATCAAACTTCTTAAGAATTTTGTCCACATAGTGAGATTGGCTCATGGAAAACCCGTTCTTAGTCTTTCTTAAACAAATTCCAAGAATTACATCAGCTTATTCCATATCCTTCATTTCAAATTTAGTAGAAAGCAAAGCCTTAGCATCATTCACAACACTAAGGCTAGTACCAACAATGAGCATATCATCAACATATAAACAAATTATTACACATGATGATACAAAATCCTTAGAATACAAACAAGAATCCGAGAAATTAGCCACATAGCCACAACTCCTCAGGGTACTATCAAACTTTTCAAACCATTGTTTGAGGGCTAGGGGCTTGTTTAAGACCATAAAAGACTTTCTAAGCTTACACACTTTGTGTTCTTGTCCTTTCACCATAAACCCTTGTGGCTGAGTCATATAAATTTCTTTATAAGGTCTCCATTAAGAAAGACCGTTTTAACATCCATTTGGTGAACCACTAAGTCGTGAATTACTGCAAGGGCTACCAAGGTTCTAATGGTGGCAATCTTAGTCACGGGAGAATAAATATGAAAAAAATTTATACCTTCTTTTTGGGTGAACCCTCTAATGACAAGTCTAGCTTTGAACTTCTCTATAGTCCCATCCGGTCTAAGTTTTTCCTTGAAAATCCACTTACAACTTATGGGTTTAGAATTCTTACGCAAGTCACAAAGATCCCAAGTGTGGTTGGATATAATAGAATTAAGTTCACTTTTAATGGCCTTTTTCCAAAAACTAGTATCTATGGACCGTATTGCATCTTCATAAGTCTTAGGGTCTTTTTCAAAAAGAAACAAAGACACAACTTGCTCACTCAAAGAATTCACATCAAAGTTTCTACCACAAAAGATGTCGATAAATCTGGTCCAAAGGAAGACTCTATTCTAGGTCTCTTACTTCTCCTAGTTCTACTTCTTCCACTTTAGTAGACGAGGAAAGGAGACTAGAAATAGGCATAGAGTCAACAAATGGCACACCAACACTTGTCTTACTAATTTGCATGTCAACATTAGAAGACAAACTTGGACATAGGAAAAATATGCTAAAAAAATACCACATCTCTAGCTTCACAAATTGATTTATCTCTTAATAACATAAATCTATAGGCTGCACTATTTTGAGCATATCCAATGAACACACAATCAAAATTTTTAGACCCGATAGTGGATTTTGTAAAATCCGAAAAAGCCACTTTAGTCAAACACCCCCATACTTTTAAAATTATTAAATTTGGATTGTATCCCTTCCAAAGTTCATAGGGGTTTTTATCCAACTTCTTATGGGTCACTCTATTGCTGCAAAGCTGGCAACCACCAGTGTCGACACAACGCGACCCGAGTGCAGGGGTCGAACGCTTGGGAGAAAAATTGAACTCGTCGGTCATACACCCTAGATCTAAAATAGAAGGGCGGAAATTTCAAAAATAGAGTCTAAACCTTGGGGCTTTTGTTCGAAAGTGAAAGGCGAGTAGGCCGACACTAAGAGGTTGCCGGTTTTCATTCTCGGCGATGGGAGGCTGGTTCTTCCACTTCTTCGACATGTTTCTGTACAATTTCTTTTTTTTTTTTTATTTATTTATTTATTTTAATTAAAAAACAAGGGGTGGGGTCGGTAGGGATTATACTCGGTATTTATGTGGGTGGGGGTAGGTGGAGGACCTCACATGACTCCTTTACTGATTTTTCTTTTTTTTTTTTTTTTTTTTTTTTTGTATTCTCCTTTTCTTTTATATCTTTATTTAAATCTGAATAGTTAATACGAAATACTTTCTATTTCTACATTAACTTTTCTTACTTTGTTTTTTTTTATTGCCGTGTCCCCGAGTCCAAAATTTGAATTTGGACTCTTTTAAAACGTGTCCACGGATCCTTAATTTTATAATTTTCCGAGTTTGAGTCCGACACCTGTAACCGAGTCTGAGCATCTTAGCTCTATTGAGTACATAATAAGCTGAAAGAACCGCTTCTCCCCACTTCGGAACTAAGAAGCATGGCATTCATAATCTCTTTCAAAGACTTATTTTTCCTTTCGGCAATACCATTTGATTGGGGTGTGTAAGGTGCACTTAACTCATGTATGATACCATTAGTTTCACAAAAATCTTTTAAAGAACTTTTACCATACTCTCCACCTCTATTGGTTCTAACTCTTCTGATTTTTAACTTTGGCTTTGTACTTTAAAAATGTACTTTTGGCTTCATCTTTTGATTAAAGCAAATAAACTTTGGTATAACGTGAAAAATCATCCACAAAAGTAATATAATAGTTTTTACCACCCCTACTAGTGCAATTTTTAAAATCCGTTAAATCTGAATGAATCAATTCAAGTAGTTTGGTACTTCTTGAGACCATTTGTTAAAATGGTTTCTTAGTATGCTTGGCCTCAACACAAATTTGGCATTTGTCAAGTTTATCATCCACTAAAAAACTAATCAAATTCATATCCTTTTAACTTTTTCAAATAAGAAGAATTTAGGTGGCCTAAACGGTTGTGCTAAACATCGAAAGATTCAACAATGTAAGAAAAAGAAGTACTTCCATTCTCATTTAAAACATTCATCACAAGCAAGCCATTATTGAGATAACCTTTCCCAACAAAGTATCCATTTTTAGACATTACAATCTTGTCGGCCTTAGAGACAGGTTTTAGGCCGTCTTTGTTGAGAAGGGCTCCCGAAACAAGATTTCTCCTAAGAGAAGGTATATACAACACATTATTCAAAAATAAAGTTTTTCCGGAGATAAGTTTAAGATGGACCTTTCCTTTACCAAGGACGCCAGCGATGCTACTATTTCCCATGTAGACATGATCGCTGTCAGTGAAATCTTCAAACTCGGTCATCAAGGCCTTATTTGCACAAAAGTGTCTTGATGCTCTGGTATCCAAAATCCACTACACTTTGTTCTCTACCAAGTTGGCCTTCACCACCACCGCCGCAATGATTTCTTCAACAATATTAGCTTGGGAAGTGTTGCCATCTTTCTTGGCTCTATGCCTTCGGTTGCATTGGTATGCTTTGTGTCCAACGATCCCACACACATAGCAAGCACCTTTCGTCTTTTGGATTTTGTTGTTTGGAGTGAAATTTCTTTTGGACTTTTTGTATCCTTCTTAGTATTTTCCCTGTTTTTAGATACATTCAAAGAAGACTCAACAAGATTAGCTTAAGAAGAATTAAGAGATAAATTTTCAAACTTATCCGTAAGGCAATTAGTCTCTCGGTTCTCATGTAACTAATGAGTTCTCGGAGGATCATGTCCTTTTTTGTGCTTCAAAGAATTGCGGTGTCATTCCAAGAGGGAGGGAATTTCTCTGAGAGGACATGAGAGGACATGAGCTTGAAGAGTCTCACACATCTTCATGCCTTCACCAAGGATCCCGGTCACCAAGTTCTCATAGTCATGGACTTAGTCATGATAGGCTTTTCATCATCCATTTTGAAGTTGATCCACTTGCCGACCACATACTTCTTTTTCCCGGCATATCCGCTCCATATTTTTTCTCCAAAAAATCCCAAATAACCTTGCTTGACTTGAAATTGACAAACAAGTCAAACAAAGTGTTGTTCATGTGGTTGAGGAGATGACCACGAACTATCTTGTTGTCCTTTTCTTTCTTCTTCAAGGCTTCTGTTGTGGCCGTTGGAATTGGGGCCGTTTCGGTGATTGCATCTTCTTCCGCCTTTTTGAGAATCTCCATGACATCTTCATTCAAAACATAATCTATTTCCACTTCTTCAGAAACAATTAGTAACTTTTGTGACCATCTCTTATAGTTGTTACCATCTAAAGGTTCCAACTTAGAGAGGTCAGGAGGAGGCTTCACAATACTATTAGCAATAGACATAATTTCGTTTTCAAATTGTTGTAAATAAAGGAGTAGTCTAGTACATATAGTATAAAAAAATTTAAGTAAGATAAAAAAGATAATCTCACAAACAATGGAACAATATCGGTGTGTCGTGATGCAAATCAATTACTTGAAAACGAAATTCCGGCGCAACCTAGGTGCTCAATTGTATTCTCCGGCATATTCCCTAAGGTTAACACACCACTTCCACACAAAGGCACTTTTGGGTGGAAGGTTGGAGTTAAGTAACTTATGCCCAATAAAGAATGTGTTTAAGCTAATGTGTTTGATGTATTTTTCAAGTGTAAAAATCAGAAAAAAGGCTTCTTCTATTTATTGAGAAACATGAAAGAACATAGAAGAAGAATCCCAAGCATCAAGGGAGGTAATAATCAGAATAATGGTGGTGATTAATCACCTTAAACATCCTCTTAAATAGCGGGGTTATAAGAGTTACTCAAGAGAATAATGGTGGTGATTAATCACCTTAAACATCCTCTTATATGGAGGGTTATAAGAATTACTCAAGAAATTAAGCGTGGGAAGTAACGGCTTGAATTCCCTTTTTTTATTCCAACATGACCAATACCTTCTACCTGCAGTGGCTAATCTTGCCTCTTTAGTAGTTTATGGGTGCTGTGCCTTTTTCCAAGAGATTTTTTTTTTTTTTTTTTTTTTAACCATAATTTTAAAATTACAAGATTGCTGGAACTCGTTTTAAAACTGATAATTCCTATATTAGGATTTCTAGGGTGTTAAATCACTTTCTAAATTGTTATCCACTCAAAATCTTAAACCATTGTAACATGTTTGCCTTCCAAATGAAGGGTTTATTCTTTTCATTACCAATTAAGTAGTTGGTAGTTCAGATGCTAGAACACTAGCTGGAATGCCTCATCAAATTTTAAATGCCCAACAGCTTAGCATATCAAACTGCCCATCTTCTAGGAAGAGTTGAGGAAAGATACTCTTCCTGTGCACAGTATTTAGTTGCAAAGTACTTTTTAAATCTCAATTGTCTTTCTACAAGTAACATTGTAAACAATCACTCTTAATCGGCTTGGATATTGCCAAGGTAACACTTGATACACATGTACTCCTTGCAAAGGAAGGGAATGGGACTTGATATTCAGCAATTTATTACTTCCTGTATCATGTGGTAGATGTCTTTCAGATATATTTGCTTGTTTATCCTTATTTATGATATGATGTATCCCTCTTTTTTTATTTATTTATTTTTATTTTATTTTTTGCTAAAACGATAATCATGACATGATGTAAATGTTTGTGTAGAGATGGTGATTCTTATGTCATAAATGGAACCAAGTGGTGGACGAGTGGGGCAATGGATCCAAGGTGCAAACTTCTCATCGTTATGGTTAGTTCCTTTTCTGAGGTGTAGGTGGAATGATAACCTTGATAACCTTTGGTTATGTTAGAATCACTGTGCATTCATTAATATGATGGTATGGGATGTAGGGTAAAACAGATTTTGATGCCCCAAAGCACAAGCAACAGTCCATGATCCTTGTTGACACTAAAACACCTGGAGTACATATCAAAAGACCACTGATGGTGTTCGGCTTCGATGATGCCCCTCATGGTCATGCTGAAGTATCCTTTCAAGATGTGCGTGTGCCAGCCAAGAATATTCTACTTGGAGAAGGACGTGGATTTGAAATCGCACAGGTTTGATTGTTCTTTTTTATTTGCATGTGTTATTTATATATATTTTTTAAATTGTTCGCTAAAACGCAGTAGAATGGTGAAGCATTCTGTTCCATGAGATTGTAACATTTATATTCTTGCAGGGTAGGTTAGGACCTGGAAGACTCCATCATTGCATGAGGCTTATTGGTGCTGCTGAGCGTGGTATGCAGATGATGGCTGAAAGAGCCCTTCAACGTAGAGTGTTTGGTAAACTAATTGCTCAACAAGGCTCATTCCTTTCAGATATTGCTAAGGTAACACTTGCTCTTCTAAATTGCACTTTTCATGTAACCTTGTGGGGAATTGTTAAATCATCTTTATTAATCTACTGAAATGTTTGCAGTGTCGTGTAGAGCTAGAGAAAACTAGACTTCTGGTTCTGGAAGCTGCTGACCAACTTGATCGGCTTGGAAACAAAAAGGCACGTGGGACCATAGCAATGGCTAAGGTACGTTGCTGTTGTTACTCTTGTTTTAATTATGTTTGTATTCCCCATGTTGTCCATCTAGCCTTGGTGAAAAAGGGTTATTATCACAGGAAATCTTGCATACATGACACACCTTTTATATCTTCCTATTATTAGGTAGGGTTGTGCAAAATCAGGCTTGGTTAATTGACTGTGGTTTTGGTTAATTGCTAATTCTGGGTAACCATTCTTCTGAATTCTGACTCTAAGTCGTATCTGTTAAAATGGCTAACTGGTGAACCGGTTACCTGGAAAATTCGGTAGGTTCAGTTTGGATAATGGTTTTTCCAATAAGCAAGGACAATATGTTAAAAAGTAGGTCTTCCCATTTAAAAGGGTCTTTAATCAAACACTAGAAAACTTAAAATCATTAAGTTGAATTGAAGAAAAATCAATAGAAGTAAAACCCAAGCATCATCAAAGAGCTACAGCAAGGAGCAGCAGCTAACATAGCAATGCAACAAGTTTTAACCTTCAGTTGTCATAATCAATCAATCAAAGCCTTATTCCCATAATTGGGGTCGGCTACATGAAACAAAAGTGATTATCTGTATAGTCATCCACAAAAATCTTCCTTCTCCATCCCTTACGATCAAATACCTCATTCTCATGCAAATATCCTTGATGGTCATAGCTTTCACTAGTACATAAACGAATAACACAAAAATTAAAGAAACAATACTTCTTAAAAAAAAATGTTGCGGATGGGACTAAGGGAGGATTCAATTACTATACTGTGACAAAAGTCAAATTAATCCAAAATTAATGAAAAACAAAATTAAAACAAACTAAAGCTCTACCAAGTTACCAGATTAATTGTGTGGTGTCAGAAAGCTATCTTTAATAGCCAACAATGGAGTTCAAAAGTTAGGATTATTTCTCTCTAACATTTGTAGAGTTGTAGATCTGTAAATAATGGGATAAATTAAATGGAGTAATGTAATGAAGGAGAGGGAAATTTGGGAATTCTTCGCCTATTAGCCTTGGTTATTAAAGACTACTTCCTCTGTATTTTTTTTTTTTTTTTTTTTTTTTTTTTTTTCCTTTTTCTAACTTGCAACGTTTCTTGTTTTCACGTGTGTCAATGTATAACTTCAATCGTTTGCATCTTTAAATTTACATATTTATAAAATATAAAAATCTGATTTTAATAATGTAGACATTGAAACGAATCTAAAAAGATCCCACATGACTATTTTTCATTAAGTATTCACAAAATTCAATCTAACTTGAGTACGTGAATAGTAAAAAGTATTGAAAGGTTGAGAGTAAATAAAAATGGAGGAAAGAATATCATAAGGTTAATACAGTAAATGCACACATTTAATGACTATTATATACTCCTGTTAAAGTTAATTGGTATCTAATAACAATCCAATAAGCATTTGTTCTTTTTAATTTCCGTACTTAAATATCTAATTTCTATAAAACCTAATCTCCTATAAGTTTTGTGTAAATAGTAATTGTATTAGTAGTGTAGTAGAGAACTGTGGTTTTGTTTGTAGTTAGTGTTATAATATACATTGTACTATCTTGGGATTTTTCAAGTCTAAATTTTCATATTGAGTTTGGGTATTCGATATCCGAGCTGAAAATTTTGGTACCTAAAATTGTATTAAAACCTTATTTGTTTGTGCTTGGGTATGGGAATCATTATTAGTGTTATTTGTTATCTGATAATCAGATTTTTATTTATTTTTTTCTTAGAATCTGTTAATCAGATAATGAGCTGCTACTCACTCTATGCTCACCCTTGCCTATAAAATCTAATAAAGTTATGCTGTCATTTTTATGATACACCTCAGGTAGCTGCTCCAACCATGGCGCTGCAGGTGCTTGACATGGCCATGCAGGTGCATGGTGCCCTGGGATTGTCCAATGACACTGTTTTGGCACATCTGTGGGCAACGGCAAGGACCCTGAGGATTGCTGATGGTCCAGATGAGGTTCACTTGGGTACTATTGCCAAATTGGAGCTGCGAAAATCCAAGATGTAAAGCTTCTAAAATATGCAAAAACAAAAGTTTTATTACTTGCAACCCAGCCTCTGTTGATCCCGACAATGCCACCACAGAAAAGACGGATATGTCCCTCAAATATAACTATTGCTCAAAATAAATGTTGTAAACCTATGTAAAAGATCACATTTTAACTGCTTTACAAAAAAATAATACAGAACATTTTATAAATGTTGTAATGTTGTAAATTTTTTTTTTAACAAATCTATTAAGGAAAAGTAAATTGTCCGTGTCCGAGGCTTGTATTGTATTCAATCAACCTTGATAGCTATAGCTTGCTCACTTCGAGCAAATGGAAACTCTCATGGATTTCACGATACTTTGCGAAAACAAACATAAGCTTTGCTACTGTATATAAAAATCAGAACAGTATGAAATATTTGTGCTGAGGAATTACCAGCAATTCAGGGTTCTTTACCTCTTTTCATTCATCTTGCTTGCCCTTACAAAACAGCCTTTTGTCCCTTTAAATAAAGACTATGATCTTTACATTATAAGAAATCAGTACAAATTATTTTCCTAGGAAAAGACAGTAAAATTGCAGAAAAAGACAGCTTGTAGTAGCCTCAAACACACAAAATTAAAGTTGAAAAACATCTGTTCTTGCAGCACCTTAGTGCACAACACACCATTATAAGTTGAGCATGAGTAGAGCCATTTTGGAGCAACAATAGCATACACACACTTTGGTATTAATCGAATCATGAAAGTGCTTACAGTTACCTATTGTTTGTTATGAGTGGTAGCCTGGTAGGTATTAGGTATACACTCCCTTTCCTAAGGGTAACCATTACCCCTCATTTGTTACCGTTCTCAATCCTAAGGTAACAACAACCTTATCCTTTCTCATTTGCTTTCGTTCTTTTTCCATATTTATATCAAATAACTAATAATGGTAACACTTAATACTACCCTTTCACTTAATATTACTTAACAATGGTAGTCACCTTATTTGAGAATGGGCTAGACACGATTGAAAAGATTGGAAGGCCTTAGAGGCAGCACCAGTGAAACAAACACGCCTGCTCTGTCTTTTATATCATGATTCTTTTTATTTTTTTGTTTGAAATTTTTTTATATCATGATTCTCATATAGCATTTTTATTTTTGGTGACTTTCAATCACACAATGACCCGAATATATTTAGATACTAATTATAAAAAAAAAAAAAAGAAGTTAGAATTAGCAAATTAATTAAACAAGAAATATACCAAGTAAATTTTTATTTTTTTTATTTTTTTATTTTTTGGGACATTGGCTAGGAATTGAACATTAATTATACAAACTACGAGACACACGCTATGCGTATACAATATAGGAAATTATTGTTTTACTCATAATATTGTTATTGTAGATTTTTTCAAAATTAACCTTACATAAAATTTTAAATTAAAGGTTTATCCCTAGCCTTAAAAATATGGTAGTTGTATTTTTTTTTTATTTTATTTTTTTATTTTTTTATTTTTTTTTTGTATAATAGATTCAAGAATATAGAGTGAACATCTATTGTAATAATACGTATATAGGTAGATGTACGATATTTTTTTTTCTTTTTAATTTTTTTTCTTTGTAACATAGATGAACGTGGTATATGATAATTATGTGGATAATAATATTCCTTTTATTTGATAAAAATAAATGTATGGTTATCTTAAACAAAGTTAAATGTGGTTCTTTTTATAGAAACAAAATTAAAACAAAAAATGTAAACGTGGGCAGTTTATGGGTAGGTTTCTTTATTTTTTTATTTTTTTAAATGAAAAGTAGATAATTTTGGTTTGTAGGTAGTTTAATTTGTTTGTTTGTTATTATTATTATTATTATTATTATTATTATTATTATTATTATTATTATTATTATTATTATTATTATTATTATTATTATTATTATTATTATTATGTTTTTTATAATCTTCTAAACACCATAATTTTATCCTTTTCAAGGGTTATAAGATTCACATTCTAAATATGGGTGGATGTGAGCTTTTTTTTTTTGTTTAAAAAATTATTTATATTTTATTATTAGTATATAGTAATGAAGTAGTTTTTTTTAAAAGAAAAATTTATGTATAAAAATTTATTGACTTACATTTAACGTTGAATAGTATGATTAACATGAATTTTTCTAATGTAAACCATAAAAGAAATTATTCATTTGTGAGCAGCTATGAACTCTTTTTTTTTTGGAAAAAAATCATTTTGAAAAAAAAATAGTGAATAAGTAAATTTGTAAATTGAGAAGGACATTTTGAAAAAATGCAAATCAACCAAGATGTCCTTTCTCTTTATATATTGTATTATACTATAGATATTATAAATGGATAGGATGTAGTTCGGGTTTTAAACAAAATTTCTACTTTTATTTTTAAAAAAAATTCGGAGATTTTAATTATATGTAAACTTTACTTCTAAATTTAGGTCCTAAAATGAAGAAGAAAACTAAAACAACAGTTTGGAGATGATAATTAAAGTCAATGTAAGTATATCAAGTTTGACAATACATAAAAAAAGGTTTTTATATCTTGTCATACACTCATATAGTTGAATTTAATTTGTTTGCTAACTTTAGAGTAACACCAAAACTTAGATGTAAATAGAGAATAATTTTAGATAAACATCACATCACATCAACAAAATTACTGTAATAGTTGAACAATGAATGGATTCATATATCGTGAACAACTATTCTTACATTAGTGTAACCTTGTCGAATTCAATTACAACTATCAACTTTGTTCAATTTTCAACCACCCATTTTTATCTTCATCTTCTGTTTTAAGTATAAATAACTCTTAAACTTGACTACTTTGTATTTTACTACTTTAATTCTCTCCAAAACTGTTCTTAAATATTTCAAAACTAACCCTAACCACACACAAGTCTTAAAAATGATACCAAATAAGAATGCAAAGAAGGAAAAGATTGCTCAATATTTTGCATTTTTCTTGTTGTTGATCGGAACGGTAGCGGCGCTGGTGGTTGGTATGCAAAGCTACCACCACCACCACGAGACCGATACCGATGAACCTTCTAACAATAATGATGAGCTAGCCACATCAAATAAAGCCATCCAATCTCTTTGTAATCCAACACATTACAAAAAAACATGTATTGGAACCCTTAATTCTGCTGCTAGCAACACAAGTGACCCAATAAATCTATTAAAGTTAGCTTTCAATGCAACAAAGAAAGAACTTTTGGATACCTTCAACAAGTTTTCCAATTTACATGTACCAAAAGACGATCCAAGAGCGGTCCAAGGGCTTGAAATTTGCAAAGAATTAGTCGAAAACTCGGTGAATGATTTAGAGAGATCAATGAATTCTGTGAATGGTATTGAATTGAAAGAATTAGACCAATTAATGGAGAATCTTAAGGTATGGATTAGTGGGGCTTTAACGTACCAAGAAACTTGTTTTGATGCATTTGAGAATTCAACTAGTAATGTAGGACAAATGATGAAGAATTTATTAAAAACTTCAAAGGAGCTTATTAGTGATACTTTGAGCATTGTTTCTAAGCTAAGCTCATTGAAAAGTTCCTTTGATGTTAAGCGTGGGTTTCATCACCGTCGTTTGATGGATGACTCGAAACCTAAGGTTGCATCTGAATCGCAAAAACTCCCTGCTTGGATTAATGATCAAAGACGTCGTATCATGAAACTTCCAACGACGAAAATTCGTTCTAATGTAACTGTGGCTATGGATGGGAGTGGACAATATAAGACTATTATGGAAGCGATAAATCGAGTTCCTAATGATAATGTGGAGGCTTTTGTGATATATATTAAGGAAGGGATTTATAAGGAGCATGTTATTGTTGATAAGAGTAAGACTAATGTCATATTTATTGGTGATGGACCTAGCAAAACCAAGATCACTGGAAATAAGAACTTTGTTGATGGTTATCAAACGTTCAAAACTTCCACTGTTGGTAAGAATTTCTTACATTCTAATACAATAAAGACACTTAACTTCAAAATGCTTTAATAATCTAATTTTTGTATACAATGTTCTTTATAAAACCACACACGTTTCAAGTTTCTAAAAAATATAATTCTGTGCTTTATTAGTCTTACAGAAATTTACAAGCTATAAAGTAGTATTATATAAGAAAATTAAAATATTAGCTTAGGTTAGTACCCATATACGAACTCATATGCATTTATCCTTAAATTGTTGACACACTTTGACCGGCATAATATGAAAATTTAATTGATTTTATTTTACTTTAGGATAATTAGTATTCCATAATCAACTTTTGTAAATATATTTTTAGTGAGTAGTAGAGGTTTTTATTTTTTAAATAATCACATAAATATTTAGAGTAATTAGATTTAATTTTCCAATATATATTATGTATACTATAATAAAATGATTTTGTTCTTATAAACGTTAAGTAATTCTTTAAGATTTATACAAAGTATGCTACCAAAATGATTTTTCCTTTTTAATTAAAATAAATTTTATTGTCAAATGATAAAAGTTGGAGAAAAAAAATTGATATTGATAATATTATACTACCTCTGTTTCTTATTATGCGCAACAAAGAAATATTTTATGTCTCACAAATAATACCCGTTTGTTGCACATAATAAGAAGTGGAGGTAGTAATAATCTTGGAATTAATAACAATATACTAAAAGACACACCAACAATGACATGTGTCATCTTCTGGTGTGTCCTTAGTTTGTTTTTTTTTTTTTTTTTTTTTTTTTTTTTTTTTTTTGGTTTGCTGAATAAAATTCAATTAAAGAAACAAATCTCATACAAAAATAATTCCCTAATCTTATAAAAAAAAATTGACATATGTTTAACACAAATATTTATATAGCTATAAAAAATAACATAATTTTAATCATTCTACATCATTGTATATCTAACCTATCTTTTGTAATCCTTTATTATAATCAAAATTTGTCAACTATATATTTAGATTGTTTATAAAAAAAACTAATTATAATCGTAGTTTAATAATAGTTATTGAAAATTACCGTGCAGGGCACGGGAACTAACCTAGTATAATATATTACAATACCTTATTTTTAAACTATGTTATCTATGTCAGTATTTTTGTAACTAAAAGTTTCCTAGTATATAAAATATATGTACAAAAAAAATTGAGTATAATTAGATTAAATATGTTGTCAAAAGGGAAATAATTATTATTGTAGGTTATAAAATGAATGTCATAATAAAAATGGCAAATTGAAAAAAAAAAGGAAAGTAAAAAAAAGGCGGGAAAATTTTTAACCAATAAATGACAAGTGTCATTTCAGATTTCGCCTTTAATATATAGTTATTGATGGTTAATATAGTTTTCAAACGTGTGTTTATGGGCATATTCTAAGAAAAACAAGGACAAAAAAAGAATACGACGTATGTAATATTGATTAATCTTTTTCTTTTGTTTTTTTAACAAATTGGTTTATAAAGTCCTTAAATAAGATCTTGATGTTATTTTCTGTAAAAAAATATATATATAATTGAATGCAGATATCATAGGAGATGGTTTCATGGCCAAGGACATAGGCTTTGAGAACTCAGCGGGACCAACAAAGCATCAAGCAGTTGCAATACGTGTAGTATCCGATTTCTCTACCTTCTACAACTGTCGTTTTGATGGATACCAAGACACTCTTTACGCGGTAAGATCACGCCAATTTTACCGCCATTGCACCATTACTGGAACAATAGATTTCATCTTTGGAGATGCAATGGCTATTTTTCAAAATTGCAAAGTGGCTATTAGAAAACCATTAGAAAATCAACAATGTATTGTAACAGCCCAAGGCCGACTACAATCCGATGGGCCGGGTGCATTTATCCTTCAAAATTGCACCATTACCGCGGACCCTGATTATTACCCAGTTAAGGATAAAAATAGGGCCTTCTTGGGACGGCCATGGAAGGATTATTCTCGAACTATTATCATGCAATCTTTCATCGACGAAGCCATTCATTATGAAGGTTGGGCTCCATGGTCTGGTGATTTTGGGCTTGATACTTTGTTTTACGTCGAATTCCAAAATAGAGGGCCTGGTGCTGCTAAAGAAAAGAGAGTAAAATGGAATGGTATCAAGCAGTTAAGTTCAGCCCAAGTTGAAGATTTCACTATTAGTAAATTTTATGTAAATGCTAGCTCTTGGCTTAATACCACCGGAGTGCCACACTACTCCACCATGCTTAATATTTAAGGGTTTTTTTTTTTTTTTTTTTTTTTTTTTTTTTTTTTTTTTTTTTTTTTTTTAATTTAGGAGTGACAATTTCTGTACAAAGTTATACTTCGAGTTGTTAGTCAAATGATTTCAGATTTTTTATTTTTTTTTGGAATGTTTGTATTTTCCCTGATTTGATGTTTTTCTAAAGCCGAAGAAAAAAGTGTACTTTGATATAAATAAAGATTGTACAAATATTCTCTCAAAAATTTCGAAAAAAGCAATTGTTTTACTTAGGAAAGTAAGAGAAGAGAAAATGAAGGATAGATCATCTTTTGTTTGGATACCTAATACAAGGAGAGAAGGGGAGGGCATTGGAAGGAGTCATTTTCCTTCCCCTTTTAATAAAGAAAATCTCTCCATTGTTGGAGAGATTTGGAAGGATAATGAAAGTTCACCTTCTCCCTCACCTCACCTCCCCTCCCTTTCCCTTCCCTCTTTTTCCTTCCTCTCCCTTTCCCTTTAATTTTGTTATCCAAATATAGTGTAAAAGTGTATTCTACCTTCCACTATATGTTTGGATAACTATAGTGAAGAGAAAAGGATAAGAAGGAAAAAGAGGGAGGGGAAAGGGAGGTGAGTGAGGGAGAAGGTCACCTTCCATTTTGCATCCAAATATCTCCAAAAATGGAGGGATTTGCTTGGTTTATTAATAGGGAAAGGAAAACGGATCCTTTTAATTCCCTCCCCTTCCCTCCTTCCATTAGATATCCAAACAAAGGATAATGCAACCCTCCTTTTCTCTTCTCTTCCTTTCCCTCTATTTCTTTCTATCTAAACATAGTGTTCGTGAACTTAAGTACAACAAAAAGTCTTCCATGCACTCCAAAAAAATTTTCTAAATGAAAGATTAGTAAGTATAGTTAGGGCATGTGATTAAGTGGATGAGAGAGAAAGTGGGGACCGAATAGTTGGTTAATAAAGTAGCCAAATTTTCTACCAAATTTTTAAAAGGGTACAATATCCCTCCCAAATTTAGAAATTTGAAATTTCAACCAAATTTAAACTTTAGCTCCATCATTTGTACATCAAAGCTCCACCTTGTAAATACAGGAGCACTTTTGAAAAGAAAATTCTACACAAACATCATACTCCAGAAGAAACAACAACATCATCATCATCCAAAATTTACACTTCAGCATCAACATTTGTTCTCTGTTGTCCAACATCGTCTACAACCACCACCAAACCCACAACAAACTGCACAACCACACCCACCACCAAACCCAAAACCACAAACCCAAACCCACGACCCAATAAGAAGAGAATAGAAAGAGGAGAGAAAGGAAGAATGCAGTTAAGTCGAGTTTGCCGGTAGGATATGAGGTTGTACAAGATGGAGGAGTGATAGATAGATGTGGTGGTAGTTGTCGAAGGTTGGTCGTGGTGGCTATTGATTCTTAACGGCAGCTTAGAGGGGGATAATGTGGGTGGGTGGTGGTGGTTGTGGTTGTGGGGTTGGGTTTAGGATGGAGAGGAGAGAGAGGATGGGGGTGGTGATTGGTGAAGAAATGGTGAGGAGTGAGAAAATAAGGTAGTTAAGGGCAAGGGTGTTTTTCAAGCGAGTCGAGCCCAAAACTTTGCTTAACTCGGCTCATGTTCATTTACATTTATTCGAACTCGAGCCGAGCTCGAACTTTGACGAGTCGTGCTGTGACGGAGATGAGTTTTGACCAAGCATTGACCGAGCCCTTATCGAACGGTTCACGAACAACTTCATCTACCATAGTTGTCTTCAATATTATTATTATTATTATTATTTTTTTGATATGTTTGTTTTTGGAATTAATATTTGAAAAATGATAAACATAGTCCTAAGGGCTATGAGTAAGGAGACAAAAGTGATATATTTGATAAAATCAAGCATTTATTACATTAATTTGCACGTGATTTTGTCTTGAATTCACGAATTATTTCCATATTAGGAATTATAATAATGTCTTAAACATAGCCCTAAGGGCGATGTATAACATTCCCCTTAATATTTGAAAAATGATAAACATAGCCCTTAGGGCTATGAATAAGGAGCCAAAAGTGGTATTTGATAAAATCAAGCATTTATTACATTGATTTTAAAAGAAGACCATTTACTTAATATTATGTAATTATCCGAACAAATATAGTTATGTATACAACATAATATATTATTTATATATTAAAAATATTAATCGACCCAGTTCACAAGCTAAGCTTTTCGAGCTGAGCTTCAACGAGCCGAGCTTGGATCGAATTTTAACTGAGCCGAGCTCGAACTAGTAAAACATAAAACAAAATAGAATAAACTCACACATATACCAAATGTTATGCTTATTTCTTTTAGTTTTTCATGAGGTTAATGACTACTTTATACGATTAAGAATTAAAAGTAGTATTCGCAGTAAAACTTTGGCCAATACCCAACCCAATTAAAATCAAAATTTAGTAAATTGGTGAGTGATTGTCAGTGGATGAGATAAAGTCGATGGTCGGAATAGATATTTACTGACATCCTTATTCCTAATCTCATTTACCACAACAACAAAAGGAAAAAAAAAAAAACAGGAAATTATATACTCTTACACACAACCCTAAAACTTCAAACCTAAAAAAAATTGAGATTGAAGATCAAATATCATTTCATCATGTCTGCATTGATCAGATTGGTGAGTAAATTTACTATTGCATCTATATTGGAATCTAATATTGGATCCACCATGTACTCTTTTGCTACTTAATAATTGTTACTGATTATTGAATAATGATTATATTAAGACTCTTTTGCTACTTAATAATTGTTACTTATTATTGAATAATGATTATATTAAGAATAATTCTAAATAGTAATTCTATTCTGACCACTATTGTATAGACAATTTGGCACATAGACCACATATTGCAGTGGCGAATCTAGCATTTTATATAAATGAGTTCAAATTAAATCAAAATTAAATAAATTATATTTTAATTATTTATAAATTAAAAAATTACATGAACTAAGTACATATTATATTGCATTATTGACATATAATTATTGGTATTGATAGATTAATCATAATTTTATATCATATTTCTCATATTAAATAAGTCAATGTTAAATAACTTATTATTATTTCTTCATCTTTCAAATATTTGTAATAAGAGTTTTCTTACAAAAATAAGTGGGGTCAATTGACCCCATTACCTAGAACATAGATCCGCCCTACATATTTCAATCTAGTTCAAACTTATGTCAAAACGTTCAAATTGCTAGACGGAAAAGAATGCAACCCTAACATCATTCGGTTTTCACTATTCATAATTTTATTGGCAAGCCACAAATTCGTAGACAGCAAATAAAAAAACCATATTCAAGGTAATCTAAATATAAATTTATAAATCTCTGGCTTATTTTTATGTACGAAGGACCTTAGCTTCAATTTCTACATAATATATTTTATTTTTTTTGTTTACGGTAAAAACAAGCAAGTAAAATTTCTGAATATTATTAATTTCTGCATAGAATTGAGCATCATTGGCACCCATAAAACCATAAAGTTTCTTCAATTCTTCTTTAAGTCATCGATTACTACTTTTTACTTCTATAGGTCTTGATCGTTGGCCATCTTGATATACTGTTGACTTGTACTTGCTTGCTCAAGAGCTCTTCCAAATTAGAGATTGTTACTTTCTGATATTCAACATGCTGCCATAATTCCTCAATAACCTTACTATCTTCATCCATCTTTTTTGACTCTTCCTATTCTTGAAGGTAGCAAGCAAACAAAAAGCTTTATATTGCATATTAATAGGCAATAATACCAACACCCAGATATTATTATGATAAAAATTTGTACATGGTCAAGTTGTGAAAGGAAGGTTAAAACATTTGTAAGAATCCACACACAGACACACAAAACAAAGGAAAAATACAACTCAAACATATTTCCTAGGGTGGGAGGTACCGGTCAATCATGTAGATGACTTGCATGTTTATAAATGTTCAAATTTAGATTCATTAAAAATTAAAAATTCTTGAATCAAGCTAGCCACTCCATTATGCAATTTTTATTTAACATTTGAAACCTCGAGTTTTGTTTGTGTAGACACCTGATTGTGTCTAAACAAACCCAGTGATGAATATCTTTCATGTATTTGATTATCGAGTTAGGTGAAGAATTGAAGACTTTTGTGAATTTCCCTTAAGCCTTGACCATTTCTAACCTTTCCTAAAAATTTTTTAAGCCAAAATCATTCATTTCGTGTCTTTAAAAAATCATTCATTTCGTGTTCACTTAATAAAATCGTCTAAACTAGTTTATTTTGGTCCTTAATATGGGTATACTAATTGAATAGTTGGAGGGCTTGAAAAGAGCTTTCCAACGATGTATTATAAGCTCAAATCCGACCTATAACGCAGAAGTTATGGTCAATATACTAAACCAAGCCCAAACCGGACTTAGGTCCATCTTACCTACGACCCAATGATCATGTGGTGAGTCCATTAAACTGAATCCCAATCCTAAACAAATTAGGATTTATTAGGAGCTTTTAGGGGTCTCTAGAAGGTTCTAATCTATCCTTTTTGAAAGAAGATCAAGAGTTTGAAATTGAATAAAATTCCTGTTTATGATAATCCTTGTTCCATTCAAATTGAAAGACCGTTAGATATTACTTTTGTGTCTCATAAATTTATACAAATCTTGGATTATTGGATAGCCCTTGAAATTATCTTTCTAATGATATATTATAATCCCAATTCCGAGCTATAACGAAAAAGATATGAATGAAATACCAAACTCTATCCAAAATTGACACCGTCCTACTATTTTGGCTTTTAATTTACAAAAGATTTTAATCTGATTCTAATTGGGTTGGAAAGTAGACTTCAAGAGCTTTCCAATGACATATTATTTATCTTATTCCGATTTCTGGATCAAAAAGGAATGATAAAAACAAAAACCGCGAAAACTGCTGTCCATCGAAGGAGTTTTAATCTTATTCGAATTTGGATGTTTTCGAATCCTTCGACTCTCTTTTTTCCCTATAAATAGAGGTCATATCACCTCGTTTTCAATCATCAACAAGCTTAATCACCAACAATCATCATTTAATCCCTCTCTAAGCTAAAAACTTTTCTTTCTCTCTTTCTTAGCCTAGCCTAAACACATCCCAACAACTTTTTGATAACAAACACCATACTTCTTTCACGAGCCTCGAATACTCCTAGCCAATCTCAAAGTTGCCTTCGACCTCGACGTGAAAGGCTGACAGTTCTGAGGGTTTGATCCCAAATCTATATTTCAATTCTTATTTGATTTATTTGTTTGATTTATTTCTTCCTTGAAGTTACTAACGTGTGTATTGTTTTGATAGAAAGAGGTACGAGGCATCAAA